GTTCCACCTTCTCCTCCTTCCCCCTCACCCCACCCCATATACCCTGGTAACCACCACCACCAACAACAAAATAAATAAATAAAGATAATTTTTTTTTCCTTTCCCCCTTTTAGTGTGGGTGCTTTTTCTTAATGTTTTACAATAATGGATCTATGCCGTATTTCTCCTTTTGTGACTGACTGATTTTCAGCATAATGTCCTCAAGGTTCATCCATGTTATGTGGTGGCATGCTGCTTCCTTGTTATTCTTCAGGGTAGCATGGTATTCCATTGTGTATATGTACCAAAGTTTGTTTATCCATTCTTCCATAGATGGGTAGTTAGGCTGTCTCCACTTTTTGCTATGGTAAATAGTGCTGCTATGAACATTGGTGTACATATATCTACTCACACTATTGCTCATATTTCTTGTGGATAAATACCAAGGAGAGGAATTCCTGGATCATAAGGTATCTCTACTTCTAGCCTTCTGAGGAAGCGCCATATTGCTTTCCAGAGTGGCTGGACTATTTTGCAATTCCACCAGCAATGTAGGAGGGTCCCAGTCTCTCCATATCCTCGCCAACACTTATTGTCCTCTACTTTTTTGATCTTTGCTATTATTGCTGGTGTGAGATGATATCTCATTGTTGTTTTTATTTGCATCTCTTTAAAGGCTAGTGATCGTGAACATTTCTTCATATGTTTACTGGCTGCCCGGAACTCCTCCTTGGTGAAGTTGTCTATTCATGTCCTGTGCCCATTTTTAATTGGGTTATTTGTCCTTTTCTTGTGGAGGTATTGTAGGTTCCTCTATATTTTGGAAATCAGACCCTTGTCTAATGTGTCATTGCAAAAGATTTTTTCCCATTCTGTGGGCTCCCGTTTTACTCTTTTGATGAAGTCTTTTGATGCACATAAGTTTTTAATTTTTAGTATGTCCCATTGATCTATTTTGTCTATTTTTGTTTATGTAAGTTTCAAAATGTTTGGTAGTCTATGTATGCCCTGTATTAGAGCTCTCACATTTGTCCCTATTTTTTCATTGATAGCCTTTGTAATTCTGGGATTCACATTTAGGTCTTTAATCCATGCTGAGTTGGGTTTTGTATACAGGGTGAGATAAAGGACTTGTTTCAGTCTTTTGCATATTGCTTTCCAGTTCTGCCAGCACCATCTGTTGAAGAGACCATCTCCTTCCCATGCAATATACTTACTTAGGTACTTTGTAAAAACTCAGTTGGCTTATGTGGTTGGGGTAATTTCTGGATTCTCATTTCTGTTCCACTGATCAATGTATCTTTCATTATACAGGCTGTTTTGACCACTGTAGCCGGGTAGTAAATTTTGAAATCAGGGAGTGAGAGGCTTCCCACCCCGTTCTTATTCTTAAGCAGTGCTTTGCTTATCCTTGGTCTCTTTCCTTTCCATATAAAGTTTGTAATTGTTTTTTCCATCTCTTTGAAGAATGTC